AATGTCAAACGGTTCAGATTAGTAAATAAAACAAGTAGAATTTGTCGCACTAATTTGTAAAGCCAGACCTATTTGAAATAGTGAAAAACGAATGTCATTGTCATTTTCAACACGTTCATCAGAGTTGATTGAAATAATAAACAATATTGAGGCAAAAACCCTATTTAACTTTTTAAGCCGTTTCACTTAGGAACTCACGGTTTTCATAAAAACAAACAATAAGTATCAATTCTAAGTAAATATTAAAATTAAGATTATAAAGTCCACTAACACTACTTATTTATTTGGCCAACCTTTCCATTAGTAATATACAATTTGACTTTCAATAATACAATTAAAATAATGTTTTATAAGCAACGCTCTCTCTTCCTTTCATATAATTTTTTGCTGACTTTCACGGAAATGGTGCACGAAAGGAGCTTGGGGTGCACGAAAGTAGCTTGGGGTGCACGAAAGGAGCATGTTGTGCACGAAAGGTGCTTTTTGTGCACAACGTACCATGCACCCTGGGCAACAATCGGTTCGACAACAAGTACGAAACAAGTTCGCAAATCCTTTCACCAATCCAAGCATAACAGTTAATGCCATCCATACGATATGAAGAAGAAGACTCACTTCAAAACGAAGATTCTCAATTATTAAAGTATATTAAATTTATTATTTATACACTTAGGAACAACTTTCGCGAATATTTATTAGGTAATTGTATCTGGGGGTCTACACTCGATCTCCGTCCGACATCCGTCCGGAACAATTACTGCCAAATAAGCAATACTTGACCAAATGAGAAGACGCGTGATGCGAATGAAGCTTCACATTGGATACTTGTCTTTTAGTTTTGTCGAATATTATTTGACAGTAATTGTTTCGGACGGATATCGGACGGAGATTGAGATTAGCCCCCCTGAAAACGGTGATATTTATTCACGTGAAACTCCACATTTGCAGTTTGAATAATCCGGTAATAGATTTTAAGGATACAATATCATCTGTTAAATTAGGTTTTTTTCGAGCCAAGGCTTTGCTACTTATTTCTCATATTCAAGTCCAGAAAAATGTAAATGACTGTAATATATTATATACTATACATAAACTTTAATTTGTTTTTCTTAAAGATTGGGATTAATAAATGACTATATCGTCGCTTTACTTTCTGACACTCGTATCTTAAAATATAAAGTTACTGAAATGCGAAAAAAGGGATTGTATATGCAAATTTTGCAGGTCGATTTCACATCACATTTCCTTCATATTCACATACTGGCTTTTACCTATTTCTTAAAGTAATGCCTCCAAATTAATAATAAATTTATAATAAATAAAAAGTTTTGCCATCTCCTGAATAATCACTCTTTATGAGATATGAGTTTGAGAAAGTAAGGCTAAGTATATCGATATGTCAAAAAGTACATTTTGGACATCCTTGACTCGGCGGTTATTTTGATAGGTCCGAATATAGTTTCCGGAAGGTTCCATGGTTCTGGAGATATCGATGTGAAAAAATCTTGGCAATTAGGCTTTTCATACTCAAAATCTTATTGTATGCTAGAAAAAGAGAGATAGAGCAAATATAAAACTGTAAAGTACACTTATTCGCTAAAAAGATGATACCCGAAAAAGCGTTGGAAGAAGAAGGACGCTTCAGTCGGAAAGTATTTGGAATTTGGTGCGAATAGAAACATTTTGTTTTTAATCGGATTTATCAACTTTTGACCAAGAACAGGAGGTTTGTTTTCCCCGTGTATTATATGTATAAATATATAGTGGTTCAAACTTTCACGATTTTCATACATTATTTGATTTTAAATTCGGGACTTAATCGTGTATAAAACATATTTTATTTATCGCGATGTTTCGGACGTGGTGCAACGTCCATAGTCTCGAAAGGACCGAAAAGTCGATTTAAATAAAATACGTTTTTATACACGATAAAGTGTAAAATCAAATAATACGTATTATGTAAATATGTTCGCTATATTATGGTTCAAAATTACTGAACACATTTCCATTATTATAGCACATTTGAATTAGCAACACACGGTACAATTAAATTCGGTTTTTATTGGCATACTTTCTTAGTTTTAACTCTTAAACAGAATGAATATGAAATGTAAGTTAAATGTTTATGATTGAACATTAAATCATATTAAATTTGAATCATCAGCAATTTGCAATGGGTCATCATCATACACGTTCCACTGCGGGACACAGGTCTCCTCCAACGAAGAGTTTAGTTTATAGTTCGCCATCCTGGTCCAATGCGGGTTGGTGACTTTCTATATGTTCGATGAGGGTATACAATTTAAAATACCTACCAATTTAAATTCGCACCAAAACGCCAATATAGAAAGATCTAATATTATGTTATTATCCATAATCGATTTTATCACTCCCTTGACGAGTATGCCATCTAAGATGGCGCTGATATGCTAATAAAAACTTAGCGAGAAGCAAAGATAAAAGCATCATTCTTTTATATTATCAATGGGGACTATAACTGCTTATTTCTCCATATAGATGGCGTCCTACAGGCTTTTAATGATCAACCAATAAAACATTACGCTTTTACGGTTATTTTCATCTATGACAGCATTGTGTTGTGCTAATAAAAATGTCTGCCAGAAGCAAAGATAAAAGCACCAACTTTATTTGTCATTTAGGTATAAAACGGCTATTCTCCTATTTTATTTATCTATCTTTGATATGACGAGTACGAGTCTCGAGCTTATGAGAATGCGAGCGACATTATCGATGGAAAAAATTAATAGATATTTCTATATTAAACAAACGAAAGTAGAATAATCCCTGTGTATACATGTTTTCAATAAATTATCGAAAACTTTTTATCGATATATACCTCATCTCTAGCAAATGCAATGCAATGAAGTAACCTTTGCACGTTGTCGTAAAAAATGTTTTTTCGCTTATTTCTCACAAATAAACATTGATTTGGTGTTATTTTTACTTTAATTCAATATATTTACTTAAAAGCTAGCTCATTCAAAACCGACGCTTTTAAAAATAATAACTAAATTAGTGTACGTTGTTATGAGGTTATGTTTTGTACAATATTATGAACTGTCACAGGGATCATTCTAGATTATTTTTAGTATAACATGTGTTGTTTCTGCAATTAATATTGAGGCAAGTTGATAATTTGTTAGTAAAATGGGTTTAGAAGTTTGGTCATATTTGCAGAATTTCTTATCAAAATACAAAAGTTATATAACCCTTTTTTAAATTAAATAATAACGAAAGTATTTTCTAAGGTTTTTTCGCTTGTAAACAAATATTTGCACATTAATTCTCAAGCAATTTTCTTTTGTCATTTTTATCCGCAAAACAATGATATTTTTATCTTCTCTTCGTTGATCTTAAATATTCGCTTCATTTATCTTAAATATCTATGTAACTATTAAAAATTAACTTGCATGCCTTTTTAGAATATAGGTATATCTAATTTACATATAAAAATAATTTGGCATTTTTTTAAACAATATAAATTCGTTAAACTAATCCGAAACTCACGAAACACCGAAGATAAATATTTACATTTGCACGTTCAGGAAATTTAAAAATAAAGTTAGGAAGTAATAATTCGTTCAAAGCTTAAAATACTTTTAAGGGGTCACCATACTTATCAGAATCGGCTTGAGATGGTCAGAAAAAGCTATTATAAAGCTTTTTGTGACCGGCTCATCCTGACTCTACATCGACAAGTGTGATGACACCCTTAGGCGCTGTTGTTTCTAACTTATAAAAAATATTAAAGATGATAAGGTGCTATTATTATAACAACAAAGCAATATACTTAAAACATTTCTTTTTGATTCGTACGGTACGTTATATTATATTAAAATTCTACTTTTTAACTATCTGCATCATACCGTTACTCTATACTATTGTAAATTTATACTTGCACAAAATAAGGGTGCCGATTCTTTTTCATAATTGTCTTAACTAAATCGGCGCTCAATATAATATTGTAATAAACACGCTTATAATTAAATGCATTATTGATACTAACTCATACTTTAGATCTAAATATATTATCGTAATATGTATAATTATGTATATACAATGGCCAAACACTGCTACGAGTCGCGCAGCGTTCAAACGTTCTTCGTAACGTATTGCATGCATTGACTTACAAATAAATGGACGACGTGTCTAATACAAAAACCACGAAAAAATGTCCCAAGTCAACCTATTTAAACGTAGTGACATGTAAAGGAATATGAAAAAGCTAAAACGTTGAATTTAAATTGTAATGTCATCGCAGTACTGTCTAATTTTGCTTGCTTCGCTGTCAGTCGAACAAACGAAGACTAAAGCGTGAATGACGCTCTGTATACGATTTTAACGCCCTATGAGTTCGGACACTTTTTAGCGCGGACCCGACGTCCATATAATTGTAAGTCAATGATTGCATGACTCATATAGGGTAACCACCTTATTTGTGATATGACAAAGAAACTAATGCTATTCATGATTATAACTGCCGATTTAAAATCATTTACTATGGTTATTTCAAACGAAGCATGGAGAGAATTCGTGTGTCAGTACACCCAAACGACGCATTCTTTTTACAAAAGAAATTTGTTAATAAAAGTGTCAAAAAATCCAGTCAGATTAAATAACTTTTAAACATTCTTTTTTTCATATATTACATTCCTTTTTCAAAGGCTTGCAAACAGCCTGTTATATATATGAACTTATTTCTTGTAAGTTATTGCTACCCCAAATAATATAACAAGATGTATCTTAGATCCATTGTAACCTTTAGATGGTCGCTAAATGATACAATAGATCAAATGCTGGACCTTATATTAATAATAATTGTATAATTAAGTACTTGCGAAAAAAATTATATATAGAGAGAATAATACTTATATTACTGAAAATAAGGGCCAATGTTAATAATATAAAGTTTAAATAAGATAATCAATTTTTCAAACAAGGTTGTACATTCAGGAAATATTATTTGGGCCGATCGTATACGGATTAGGGATACACTAAACTTGTGTATAAGGTAAAACTTTATTTCCATGCAATAAGAGCGAAAAACGCAAACTGAAAAACTGAAGTCAAAAGTTCAACGCCTTTTTGCTCTTGCATAAAGCTTTCTCTGAGCGGCTCAAGCCGTTTCTGCGTTTATAAGTGTGATGATTCCATTACACGACACAGAATTTTGTTGCGTCGCCATTTTAAATTTGTCTTCTTTTCGTAATTTTTTTAATAAATATAAAAAACAAGGCTTACAAACACTTGTCTATGGTGCTTCAATGGGTAGTAGAGTAAGCGATCTTAATACATTTTAATTGCTGTATATGTTCATATCGGGTAATTGTCCGAAACGTTTCAAATGGTACAATTTTCTAAAATACTTTTAGAAAACAGCTAAAATATAAGGAGAAAATTGGGAAAATTTCAAGATTTTTTTTTTTTTCAATTCAGATACTTTTTTTGACACAAAATTAGCTGTTCCACACGCGCTCCTAAAAGTATTTTCTATAGTATTCTCTAAATGAATGTTATTTTTTTCACCCGTAACCTTTGATCTTGGAACCTCAAAGTATCGTTCTAGTAGTGCAAGGTATACAGATGTCGCGTGCCGCCACAATAAATTTTCCCAAAGATATCTTCAAATCGATCCGCCCAAATAAAGTTTCGCTAACTACATACCTACTTACTCAACAGAGTACATATATTTAAAAGTAGAACATTATTTCTTTTAACTACACTATTGTATCCCATGATTTTATTTTAAAAAGATTCCGGTCAAGCTGTGTTATTCATCAATCAGTGAAAAAAATCGATTTTATTATACACAATATCGTTTGTCACAATTCGCTTACTATCAGTTGAGACTGTGACGAAGCGTCGCTATTTTACAAGAAAAAATCTTTTTGTAACACTTATAAAAATATGTTATTTATGTTAAATACTAGGAGTGGCTGACAAATAATCTCTTTAAACTGTTGCCAAATAAAATATTTTACTTTTTGTCTCTGCAATGCAGTGTGAGATGTCGATAGCTAATATGTACACGTGAGCGGGAACTACTGTCATTGGATGTTGTCACCGCGCTAAAGTGTCATTGGACGAAAGAAAATAACACGTGGGCGAGAATCATTTGTATAGGATCACATTGATAAATCCCACACCTTTACCTGTTCTAATCGTTACGGGGATTAGAAGACTCGTTGCAAAAATTAAAAGAAAAATAAGTTATAATTTGCATAATTTATCTTAGTATGATTTACTCATCAAATTATATAATTAATTTGTTTTTGGTGTCAGTATCTTTTTTTAATCTTATACATATTACCTATTATTAGTTGTTTCTCATACTGGCCACTATCGCCATGATCGTCTTTTATTTCATAGTTAGGTAGATTATTTTGCAGCCGCCCCTAGTATATTTAGGTAAATGTACGAACAAACTTACAATATAGAATACATATACGTTCATTGAATAAAAATATGTCTAGTGTCCAGTACTTTTTAGATTGTGAATTTAAAATAAAATAATATGTACAAAAAATACATTTTATATTTAAATAAAAATATAAATGTCCAATTTAACTCATAATTAAACAACTTTTAGTTTAACTTTTAAATTCCACAAGTGAAGTTTAATTCCGAAGTACAGACTGACCTGTCGCTGACATGTTGCGGTTCAATTGTGAATTCGGTCAAATTTAGAAAGGCTTTATTTCTTCCTGCTTTACGACTCCCATCTCCTGGAGTAGCGCCTCTATACCATCAGGCATACGCCCTTGGTCCATTTCTAAATTCCATTTGTAATACTGAAACACAATAAAAAATTTACTAAGCATATTTCAAACAATAATTTCCCCCGCGTTGATTCAACCCAGCGGACCTGAATAGGGTTTAAAGCAGTTTAGCTCCTTGTGAAAGACCTTACCTATTTCTGCCGCCAAGCAGTAATGTGAGCATTACTGCGTTCCGGTTTGGAAGGGTAAGGGTGCTAGTGAAATTACAGGCACATGGACTTGTCAACTTATGTCTCAGGACGACGGGCACAGTGGCAATGCCCTTAAGATCTTTGCGATTATCTAAGTGGCACTGCAACTGTTATAGATAGGCGTGTCGCTTACCACCAGGCGCACGTAACTTTATATTATTTTTAAAAAAGTTTTCTCGTGAAGTTTTTTATCGTACTTATCAAATCGCGTTGCACTGTGCCAATCGTCAAAAACACATTTGAAATTGATGAATTAGAATCAGTACAGAGTACTAAAAAGACCGATCTCAAACGTACTGGAATTACATCTATTTGCCAAGAATTTTTGAAATCGGTTACCGGAAAGTGCGCAAACCCGGATTCATATCCTAGTTCGCCACTATACGGAACTTGACACAGGAGATAATAAAAATCGGTTCTCACTAAAAGTATATTGAGAGAGAAAAACACCTAGAATTAGAGAACAGCAGATCAACCATTAAAATAATTGCTCCTGATAGTAAGATTTAGGCGATATTTATAAAAATGAATCTTCATGCGTGAACAGCCACTCTTAGAGGTGGATGATTTTCTTCAAAATTAAATGGGACCACTATGGAGGTACCCTCTTTCCAACAAAAAAGAATCATGAAAATCGGTACACAAATACCGGAGCTATCGCGTAACATACATACAAAAAAAACATACAATCGAATTGAGAACTTCCTCCTTTTTTTGAACTCGGTTAATAAAAGGACAATATTGGAAAAGAAGGACGTCTACGAGAAAAAAGTTTGGGAAGCTCTGGTCTAAACAGTAAATCTGTACGCAGCAGAGGGTCGTAAATTGTGTGTATACTGTGTTTTTATTTTATTTTTTATATACCATACGGTTGCTTGACGTGTACACTAGATTACCTAGTATCAAACTGGGGAATACCATGTACTATGGGTATTAGAGCAACGAAACTCCAGGGCATTACAAACATTTTATGACTACGGTGGTCCAACAGTTTATACTGTGAGCGCTGGACATCGAGTATATAACCAGAAGTAAAGACGAAATGAGGGCCATTCATCCTTGGCACTTTTAAATATCAACTCTCGTTTGCACTGAAATCTAAAAAAAATAATTAAAAAGATGAAATAGTACAGCGCCAACAACTGACCTGTGTGTGCGTCTTCGTATATTCCAAAAATATTCTGTATTTAATGTAATAAAGATAATATCTCTAAATATGGGGGGCTGTTCCATTTGGTGATGTGGGAAAAACAGCAAAATATCTAATTACAAATCAAACGGAATGACATTTCATCGGTAATTAAATATGTAATTGTTCAATTTTCGTCCATTATAGCAAAGCTCAAGTTAAACTAGCGGAGTTGTCACCGTAATGATATGGAGAATAGATTTCAAAAAAATTAAATGACATTTCGTCTCTATTTCTGGTTATATACTCGATGGCACTGGATGAGGAGGTCCCGGGTTCGATTCCCGGTGGGACCAAATTGGGAAACAAACTTTTATAAATTGGTTCTGGGTGTTCTGGGAAGTGCCCCAGTGTGAATTCCGTTGCTCTGGTACTCATAGTATAAGGAATTCCCTAGTCTGAGACCAGACAATTGGTGGGGTTATCTAGCACATTATTATTATTACCCAGAACATTAAACATTGAACCAATTTTGATTTTTTTCCATGTTGGTAATATCAGGAATGAACTAGATTTTAGAAAGATATAATACTAAACATATCATTACAATTATATTTTTAATAAAACTGTAAAAAAGAAATCTTGAGTCACATATCGCACTCCTATTACTATAGTGTTGTAACTCAAAATAAGTGAAATTTAATATTATATCATTACTGAACTTAAAATTTGATTCTCTGCACATCAAAAAACCATCATTAGAATATTGTAAGAAACAATCAAAAGATATCTACTTAACTCAAAATGAGACACACTTTGTGTGAGTTAGTTCTGATCAAAACAATCCCTATTCAAAAACATGAAATTATTTTTTCCATTTTATTGTTAAATGTATTTGAGAAATTGTTTAAGTGTTTATAATAAACTATATTTAATGATTGTTTTTACAGGAAGTGAGTAATTATTTTTTATCGGTTCTGAGAAAGTCCTCTTTTTGAGTTAATACACTGTTATATTAACAGTGCGATATGTGTGTGTGTGTGTGTGTGTGTGTGTGTGTTTTAAAACAAACAATTTAAGGTACCTTGTCCAGTTCCTTTCTCAACGCCAAGACGGCCTTCTCTCTGTCGGCCACCAGCTCCTCCAAGTATTGGTACCGGAGTTTTTTACGCGCGCGGCACTCCCGCGCCGATTGGCGGCTACGTTCTGGAATTTCAGATACAATGCGATTTTATTTAGTTCAAATTTCATAACAGCGCGTGAATATGATGTACACACGAAAATACCATCATCACCACCGACACTCTTCGTTTGTTTGTGGTCAACGTTACGTATTTTCATTATAGAATAGAAATAAAATTTTGTAGATATTATTCATTTTATGAATGTCACGCTGTTATACTATTATGATATTCACCTTAACTAATTCTGCCGCCAAGCAGTAATGTCAGCATTACTGTCTTTCGGTTTTGAAAGGTAAGGGTGCTGGTGAAATTACAGGCACGCGGGACTTGTCAACTTATGTCTGAGGGTGCCCCTTATATCTTTGCGATTTAAAGCTCTGAGTGGCACTGCAACTGTTATGGACAGGAGTGTACCTTACCATCAGGCGCACGACTTGTTTTTATAAAAAAGTGGCCCAAACTAAAAAAAAATGTAGGCACCGAGTTTGTCTCGTCTTTGTCTGCCAGACACGCTGCGGTTTTTTTTTAAAGTGATGAATTACATATTTTGAGATAAGAAAAAAAACCATTGAGATATAAAATGTACTGTGAAAGTCAAGGTTCTCAGTCATCGTCACTTTGCATGTCTTCATTTGACGTCAGTTTAAATAGTAGAGGCTTTCATTGCAGAAGCTATCAAACATTTATTTTTCCAAGACGGAGTACAGTTCAATGCGCAAATGTGTTGCCAGTCACAAAATAAATATCCTATCGACTAAATCTTGCTTATGATTAAGATTCATAAAATTGTAAAAAGCTGTATTTTAAAAATCGACGTAATATTGAAAAAATAAGATTGTGCCTCTGTACTTTACGAATTGATTTCGATACCAATAAGCCAACTGTCAAAAAAAAAGAAAGAAGGCGATAATGCAATGATTAATCATTGAAACGTATGACTTTAACAATTCATTCGTTTGTGCAAAATTTTATCTCCTTTCACAATCTATCGATAAAACTGTCGAAAACAACTCTGCCCGCCTTGTCATCACAAACGTTCTGGTAAGTTTCGAGAAATTGACAATTAGTTTTTTTTTCTTTAAAAAAATGTCAATTACGCTGACTTTGCTTAACAATAAAACTAAATAAGAGAAGAAGAAAAAATCGCTTATATGGGGGTTGTAGATCTTGTTTCGCTTATTCCAGATGTTAATAATTCACCGTCGCCAAAAATGACGATTACGTTAGTTATGTTAAGGAGGGTAGCCCTACAAGACTATTTAAAATTTTATGAAAAATGGCAACCTTGCAAACGTCACTTCCCCTTTCATCTTGAAAAAAAAAATTGTTGTAGACTTTGCTATACCACAGCATAGGTGAAGATACTCACCTAGCTTAGCCTTCATATCTTGTTTATCGAGCTGCGCTTTCCGGCCGGGCCTGCGGCCGCGCTTGCCCCCCTCCCGGCGGTCACCCCCCTCGCCCCCGGAACCCCCCGCTCCCACTGACCCTAACACCCCGCCGCCTACCAACTCCTGCAAAAATAGGAAAGTTTGGTTTATCACATTGTAAGTAACACTCATACATATGTAGGTACTGTCACAGACATTACACGTAGCGAAATTATAATCAAATACTATCGAACTTTATAATCATATAATAAGCAATGCTAATTTAGTGGGACTCATAATTTAGAGGTACGTATTTACATTTGGCAATGTTTAGAAGCAATATTACCCTTGCATATCATAATTACCCTTTCGCTAAGGGCAAAGGAAAACACCGTGTGAGGTTTTCATAGTAGACATAGAAATGTGACTTCAATGATTGTTGTAAACTATAAATCCAAAGTGTTTTTTTTCACGGCATAAGTTTAGTAGCGTAGGTAATTAACTGTAACGGACTTCATAATTACGGTGTACGTAACTCGTGACGACCCAAATTAGTCATTAACATGTGCTGGTTTCGTTAAGACAACAACAGTTCATGTTTTTTACGATATAGATGAGCAATAGGACATTTTTATTTCTTTATATAAATGATCCAGGCAACACCAATTTTATCTGGTCTGAAAATAAGGAATTCCGAAACTGCGAGTATCTACTCAAAGCACCCAGATCACAGCCAATTTAGGGAATTCGTTTTCTCAGGGGATTGTCTTCCGAATGAGCAGTAGAGTTTAATATATGACGATTTCAAGTGTAATTGGTAGGCCAATAGTAATTTGCTTACCTATGAAATAAAGATGATATGAATTTTGAATATATGGATTCGAATTCAATTGTTCCTCATGAATCACGCGTAGTGCTAACCACTGGATTACCGGTCCCTGAATGACATAACTAGTCATCCCTAGAGATGTGCGCCGATTACAAAATCGTTAGCGGCGGCGTAATCGGCGTTAAATGTAATAAATGTTAAAAAAAAACACCGAAATGTTGTGTTAATTCTTGCATTAATTTTGACAGTTTTATATACCTTAAATTGAAAATCCGTACCTGAGAAGCATTACACTGTAAGCGCCATTTTTGTAATTTTATTTGGGAAGCAATTTTATGTCGAAAAATAGTTAGTATGACAATTAGGGTAGCTCGAAAGGTTATTAAAACTCAATTAGTTTTATTTCAAGCCATTCTAAATGTTGTACATGTTGCATTTCGGCACAAAATCGCGTCCTCTGTAAAATTACAAAAATAGCACTTACAGTGTAATTGCTTATAAGGTACGGAAATTAGCAGGCAATGTACTACGGCGTTTGACAGTCCACAATCAGGTTTCATACACCATCTAGTAGAAAAATCGTCAATGTGCCTACCAATTTCAATCAAGTATAAATAAGACGAACGTAGATGGGAATCTAATTCCTTATAATAGTACAGAAATACGATACAATAACTTTTTTTTTATAAAAAATAACAAACAGTACAGAGTATTAAAAAACCGAACTCAAAACTTCGTGGAATTACATCTATTTGCCAAGTTTTATTGAAATCGGTTACCGGGAAATGCGCGAAAACGAATTTATTATGTATGTTAGAATTTTGTATGTATAACGCATTTGTGATTTGACGATACTTTATTTGTAGGGAAGAGGGTACCTACGTAGTGGTCCCATTTAAATTTGAAGGAAATATTCCTCGTCTAAGGTTGACAAACTAGGTCTCAGCCTGGCCTTTGCCAGGGCGTTTATTATTATTAAACTTAAAAACCAAGAAGTTTTAACAGGTTCATTATAATTCGTTTTGACGAGAAAATTGGATGAATCCGGTTTCGTTCACTTTCCGGTAACCGGAATTTCAATAAAACTTGGTAAATAGATGTAACTCCTCTAACTTTTGAAGTCGGCTTTTTTAATACTCTGTACTGAGATTATTTGTATCTAATCATTTTTTGTATGATATGTTTGACGTTCAAAATCAGTCAGTCAATGAATGATTAACAATGGAACCGATACTATCAAAATAAAATAAATTTTAAATCATCGCCGGCGGCGGCGGGCGCGGCGCGCATCTCTAGTCAACACCACGATGCATTGATCGCGATGCACTGAAAGTACGCCTGCGCTCAAACTCCGGTCGGTTAATTTGAGCGACGTCATGCCTTCCCGCATACACGGACACGTAACGACAAACTCCCAATACAATGGCGTTTGGCTATAACAATTACATTCTTCGTGCACCAATTTCAACACTGACGATGTTGTTGTAGACGTGCGTCACGAACGTGCACGACCGCGCCTTTTGTTTGTGCCACTTGGTAACACTCGAGAACTCACTTTCCTTGTTAAATACTGAGTAACTCTTGTCGCTTGAGTTCTTTCACATTTACATTACTTAATATTACGGTCACATTATTTAGGGAATACAATCTATTTCATAATGATGAATTTTCTTTGGTCGAGCGCGAACAATCAACAACACCTGACGATGTGTCGTAGAGAGGCGAAACATGTGTCGGGTGTATTTTTTTTAATGATACCAAGTAGAGGGACGAACAAGTCGTGTGTCTCGTGTTAAGAGTCTATACTACCTCAGCTCGAATTAAAAATTTTCCCATACTAATACTGTTCATTTTGCTCGAGTCGAGCCGCAGGGACACTTGGCTCTATTTCAGAATTTATTCTTTTACTGCCTCCGTGGCCGAACGGTTACTATACTGGACTGCCACGCCGAGGTCCCAAGTTCGATTCCCGGGCCGGGAGGAACATTTGTATGGCCTACATTTATTTCTCTCGTGAGTTTGGGTTTAATTTGCGGTTGTCTGTGTATGTCCATGGTACCCGCGACACAGGGTTTTCCTAATGCGGGGTTATGTTGAGTGTGTGCGTTGTTATTATTATTATTTTACAAACGAACTTAAAGCCATTTGAAAAATGTATATCGTATAGTATTCGTGTTCTATTTAGTGCACTTGTCGGGTCGGGTGCATGGCGGGCGTAATACCGTATATTTATAAATACTCGCTGTTCTCCCGACCTGACACGGGCCCGACCCGCACCCGTTCTTTGTGTGTTTCACGCTTAAGATACTTGCCGATTGTCGGCCAGGGTGCGCCAGACGTTCAAGAAAGGAATGGTCTCCTCTTGTGCACCATGCTAGTTACGCATGCGCATACTATACAACCCAAAAGACGCGCAACATGTACACAACACCATTAAATTTGACGCTGAAAAGTTCACCATTCTAACAAAACGCAGTGTTCAAAGGACTTAGAAAAAAACTGACTGTTTGTGTTATTAAGAATCGAGCTAATAAGGCTTTGCTACCTAAAGAATTTATGTCAATGACGTCACACGTTATAGAAAGCTCGCTTTTCAACAAATGTCACTTTTCAAGTGTTTATTTAAATTGAACCTTATACAAACGTCATAATCACATATAGTCATTATATAAATATTTTATGGTTCACAAACCCGTGTATCTCCTCTTCTATTGTTGTGTAGTTTTCTATTAATGTCACAATGACCAGGGAAGTTGAGTAACAGTAAAGCTTAGCGATGCGCGGCTTTGAATGTTACTAATACTAATCATTCGAATGGGCAAATCATTCGCCTAAGTCGAATCCATCATTCGACTCGAGTCGAACGATTAACAATATCGAATGCCGAAATTATTATATCGTAACACCTCATTCATCATGTCCGTACCAAAATATCCCTGTCCCCCATCACATTTACAGTATTTACCATTATGTCAGAGGGGGCTAGGTGATCACGAGCAGAAATGCTCTATGGAATCTATGGATTAGTACTACTAATTAGTAATGAATGATCATTCAATCATTCGAATACGAAAATTAGTAGGTTACTAATTTTGGCAGGATTAGCGATTACTAATGAGTCGAATATCGAAATCATTCACAATCGCGCATCGCTAGTAGAGCTCTAGTGAAAGAATTCGTCCAGAGAAGTACTGCCACGTTCCCTATTTCTGCCGCCAAGCAGTAATGGGATCATTACTGGCGTTCCCGTTTTTGAAGGGTAAGAGTACTGGTGGAAGTACAGGCACAATGGATTTAGCAACGTATATCTCAGTATACTATAGTACTGTAATTGGCTCCAGTTAGCTTTAACTAATTTTAATACAAAAATTATTAAGCTGATGTTGTTGTAAATAAAATAAATAAAATATGTATTAGAACTTAATTTCTTTTTACATTATGTGTAAATGTACAAAGGTCCATTACTTAAAAAGAGTAGTACAGTACAGACCGTTCAATAACAAAACATTATATTCACTTCATACTTCTTAAAGTTCTTTCTACATATTTATTCACGTCTCGTTGAAAAAAACCAAGCTTATTATTCATCTTGCACAATAATGCACTTTATGCATTTACAATAAGAAAGCCATTGTATCTAAGAGACGTAGGTCTGCCAATTGACGAGCGTCTGAGTAATGAGGCTTCAGTGTCAACGAACCATGTTGTATGATAGAGTTGTTTGTCGCGCCTTTTCAAGTTATCATCGATTTTGCGCGTGCCTTTTTACAATACAAGTCGAAGAATTGAAGTACCTATCTCTCAAGTATATTAAATACATAGTTTGATACACAATTTATAATAAACTGGACTAAAGAGCACAAACCGAATGTTTTATTGTATACGCCAGTACGTGGACAGCACAAAAATATTACCGCACACAAAAATGTCACCACTTCCTTTGTGCCATAGTTGCTTTATTTATTTTATTGTTTTAAGAAAAAAATATACAAAAATATTATAAAACACCGTTAAACCCTACTTGAGTTTGTCTTGATGCCATTCATTCCTTCTGCTACGAACGAACTAATATAAAATATTTAAAACAAATCCTATATATCAATCCTACAAGTAGGTAGACATTGTATTTATCTTTATTTGGAGGTATACATTGTCCAACAATAAAAAGAAGCAACGGCAAAGTATTTTTATATTCCACTAGATACTGAGCGAACCGTCCAGAAACAGGTTTGTTAACAAGTGTACA